AATAAAAAATTAAATAAATTTATCAAACCTGGGATCTAAATTATAAATTTAGGATAACCTCATAAAAAATAAATTAAAAAATTTTATTTCTAATAAAATTTAATATTGAAAATTGAAATTAAAATTAAAAAGACAAACCTAGATTATAGGGAAAAAAACAACATTATTATAATAAATAGTATAATAAAAGGAGGTGTAGAATAAAAATCTCTTATTCTTTAGTTTTTTTTAAAAAAAAATTATTAATTAATGTCAATGTTAATTCTCATTAAATATCTCCTCTTTATTGATGAGTGGTTTGTACTTGACTTTTCCTTGTAATGCTCCACATGGAGACGAATGTAATCACCATTTGTATGCTTCAACACATAGAGCATATACATGTGAGGGGCGTCCCATCTTGCAGTTTCTGGATTTGTTTGATTGCAATGTAAAATGGACCCTCAATAGACACAGATTTCCTTTCGCCGATTCTTTAAAGGATAATGAAGGATGCTGCTACTTGTTCTTACATTACCTCTGCTAGGAATCACAGAGAGATAAGGTTAGACTCGGGAGCTGGCTTTGAACTTACCTCCTGGGAAGTAGCGGGGTGTAATTTATGTCATGTCTCGTAGATAACCAGCAAAGTCATCTCTCAACAAGTAATCCATTCTTAAAACCTCCTCATCATTCCTCCTAATTAACCCGATCAACTCCCTCTTCTTTTATTTTCTCTATCCCATTTCAACCCATTCCTCTCCATGCTCTCATGCATTCTCAGAGCAACATGCCTATCCATCTCCAGCGATGCATTCTCAATCACATATCAAGAATATTGGTGTGTAGCTGGTGTTATGGTGTCTTGTGTTAGCAAGAAAGATAGCTTAAAAAAAGTTTATGAAAGGTGTTTGTTAGTTATATAAAAGAGAAAGTAAGTTTTATATTTCTTGAATTACATCAGATTAATTTTTATTGAACATTGAAGCATTTATTTATATAATAAAAATGAAATTGAATTGTAAGAAAATCTCTTTTTGTATCATTTTTTTTTGTTACGAATCAAAAGTTTGATTTGGTCGCATCCATGAAAATAACAACTAATAAAAATCTATTATGATTATTGAATTATGCTTGGTCAACAATTTTTGTATTGACTCCAAAGCTATAAATTTCTAATTTTTATCTTAAATACTCAAATCCGAACTTAAAAAATGTTTTTGTTAGAATATCTGCACAAATAACTATATGCTTTCTCTTATTGTTCCATATACAAATCTACTATAAGCTCTATCATTCAAAGTGTTTGGTTTGCAGTAACAGCAGCAACTATATATTTTGTTTTTGTTGTAACTAAATTATGATTTCTTACTTCTTCAAAAACCATGAAAAAAGCTCTAGAATCAAAACTGAAACAATATTTTCTACCCAATCATTATCAAAATAACCATGAAAATTGAGTTTTTTTAACTTGACGAATATGATTTCATCATCAATTGTACCTTTTATATAGCTAAAGATTTTGTTTTTTGCAACTTGAAAATGAATTTTACTAGTATAATTTATATACTTGAATAACAAACTTGTAGCAGGTATGATATCTAGTTTGGTTGTTATTAAATACATTAGGTAACCTATTAAGCTCTTGTACAACTTTTCATTTATCTTTTCAACTCCATTTTCCTTGCAATATGCTTTTGATACATGGAGTTGTAATAGGCTTACACCTTTCCATGTTGAATTTCTTGAAAATTTTATTTGCATATTTATAATAGTTTAGGAATATCTTATTTTGTTTTTGAAATATTTACATGCCGAGAAAACATATCATTTTTTTAAGGTTTGTCATTTAAAAAACAATCTTTATCTCTTTTTCCTTCCAAAAGTTTCTTCTAGGCTTGTTGTTCTGCTTTGTTTTCTTGTTCCTACCACCATGGTTGTTTTGAGGTTTGGCGAAGAAAGCACCCTCCACGTATCATTCTTGTCTCATAAGCTTTCTTTGCTTTTATATCTATAATATATTTAACAATTCTGTTAAGATAATAATTAATAAATCTTTTGAGTTTTTCAAAAATAAAATTATAGTCTTATAATTTTTAGAAATTGTTACAAGCATCTTTTAAACAGTTCTAGAATCAGAAAAATCAGTATCAAAGAGTCTTACATTGTTGATAATGTCAAGAAATTTGTTAGAATATTCCATAATTGTTTTTGAATTTTTCATCTTTTACATCTTAAATTCGCTGATGAAATTCAGTATTTGTATCATTTTAATCCTCTCATTTACTTTGTATTCCTACTTTAAAAAATTCTAAATTTTTATAGTTGTTTTTAGAGTCATTATCTTGTTAAAAATAATAGATAAAGCAACCGCAAATAAAGTTGCTATTGCTTTTGATCTTCTTTGCTTTCTCTTTTTATGATTTTTTATTTAGGCAATAGTTGAATTGCCTAGATGGGGTGGAACTTCATGTATGAATGATATTTCTAAATTTATATTGGATGTGTAGTGTTAGATGATAAATGTTTAGAGGTTATGTTTTGGCTCTCTTAATTTCACAATCTCTCAAAATATTTAGAAATGATATCAATTTATTGGTTATACAAAAGAGAAGAGAAAGCAAGTTTTATATTTCTTGAATTGCATAAGATTAATTTTATTGAGTAGAAAAACAATTATTTATATAATAGAAATGAAACTAAATTGCAAGAAAGATTTTTTTGTTACAAGTGAAAAGAAGTGGTCATAGCCATGAAAATATCAACAAATAAAAACTGATTATGCTTATTGAGTCATGCTTGGTCAACAGTGTTTGATATTTTATTTTTTATGGCGTTTTGCTTATTGAATATTCAACACGTCTTCGCTATCATAGCCTAACAAAAATTCCAATAAAAGAAAAATAACTGATAAAGATAATCCTAACTATATAAAGATACAATATAAGATATTTGATTCAAATAAGAACTCAAAATCTCCCAAGTCATTAGAGATTCTAATTCTGCCGGTCATTCATTTCTGACTTCAAATTGGTTTCCGCCGTAACATGGAAGCTTGGTTCTCATCACAGAAATATGTTCACTACTAACTGAAGACTGTCCTGTCACTAGCAAGTACTGGATCTTCTTGTTGGAGTAAGACGTTCAGTACCAACTGAAAATTGTCTTCTTGCCGGAGGAATATATTCAGGACTGCCAACTGAAGATGGTGTTCATGGTGGAGTATCACTAAATTCATTAACATCCCGAGCCCACCACTTGAAGCTTGGATGGGACCTTAACTGACTAGCCATTTCGGGGCTCTGAATGGAAAATGGCGCTTCAAGTCTATAGAAGTTGTAGTAGAGATTGGAAAGTCTTAATTTCAAGACTTCAGAAGAGAAGATGATTATCCAAGGAGAGTGAAGATTCATGCATGGCAAATTAGTATTGCTTCAAATTTTAATACTCTGCTGATGGAAGTGGAAGTCAAATGTCTGTGAATAGTAAACTCACTGGACCACCAATTCTATATATCATGGAAGGTGGACGGCAAAATGCCATGCGGAAGATGGAGGCAAGGAGATGGAGATAGACTGTTACATTGAAAGGAAGAATGCTAATCTGGGTTTCTTTAATTCTGTGTGTCTCACATGTCTATCAATTTGTTTTAGCAATGATAATATTGAACAATGAACTGAATCCACCCCACTTTGACGTTTTTTTAATGTAATATTCTGCTATTTCATCTCTTGTAATACATTACAGGCATACATGCATGGCAGCTGTAATATAAAACTATTCGTTAAACTAACTCCACTCCTCGAACTGCTATGGTAGGGCAAATCTACTATAAAACTGAATCTGATATAAGCAGCTTGCTTGTGACATGGAAGGAGGTAAAGTGATCACGCTCAACCGCCCAAGAACTTTGAGCCAAATGATCACTATCCATTTTGCCTCCCACTTCCAACCTTTTTTATTTGAGATGTTATAAGCAGCTACCTTGCTTTAAGAAAACCTTAAGTGGACATTGAATAGATGTCAGCAAAACAAGAGCAAAGGCTATTGGTTAGCAAGCTAGCTGAGTTTCTGCCAATAATTTTTTTAAAAAATGATTGCTTTCTGTTGACTTATTCATTAAAATAAAAAAATATATCTAGTGGGTTGTTGTCCCATGCCGGCCCATGTATGAAATTGAAAACATTCTTCTTTGCCATTTCCACTTGCTCTAGCAAATGCAGCAAGTTGATTTCTCTTTATTTTTCATTAAATCCCAATTCATATTCATATTGCATAAGCAATTATGAATTTCCCTGTGACTCTCCATTCTTTTCAACTTCTCTAATTTTACTTGAATGCTGATGATCAAATAACACATCCTTAATAAAAAAAATTAATATCTTATCTAAAAAAGTTGGTCCGAAGATATATAGTTTTTATGATTTATTAATTAAAAAGATTTGCTTCTTTATTAGATTCTTAAATCTGTATGCATTAATTTGATGTGATTTTAAAAATACAATGATAAAGAATCAAATTTGAATTAATTAACATGAAAATTGATTTAAAGATATCTTTAATACCATTGCCCTAAGAACAAAATACTAATCTCTAAATGGAATTGGTCGGTCTCATGCCTCCATTATACTATAGATAGGCTTAAAAGCACAAGCACATACAAAATACCTCCTCTTAAAAAGGAGCTTCCACTAAGAATTCCTAGAGTATAAAAGCAACCTCCATTGAAACAATTCTACGCACTATATGTCCATACAGGATATCCTCCCTTCACCAAGTTGATGTTTATATGTATAGTGCTTCAAGTGGTCACACACGCACACGTCGTTAAGTGTTTTCAACTCCCTAAAACGTGGGTGCCTTCGCCTTCTCTTTGTCTCCTCCTCTAATCTCTTTCTTTACTCGTGAAAAAGCTCCATCATCTTTCAAAACTCAACTTGTCTTCTTTGAATTCAATGTCCAAAGCGTGATATCGACCTTGGCTACACCTAGTAACCAAAACAAAACCCTATTCTATCCTACTCAACTTCAAACTCTCTCTTTGTTTCTATAAGTAGACCATTACCTTTTTAGCTTCACTTACATTGATTCCCTCATCGTAGTATGGTAACCATGACATTGTCTAAAATTTTCCTTTTAGCTTTTTCTTTCTTCTCTCTCTTATTCTTTACTTACACTGAAGGGAGAGTTCATGCCAAGAGTAGATTAAAACACTCGGACATTGTTTCCAACGTCTCACTACCTCCTGCTCCTGCTCCTCAGGCGCCTGTTAGTCCAAGTTATTATAAAGATTCTCCAAGTCCTAGTCCTAGTCCTAGCCCAATTCAAAGTATCGCAAGGGTTTACAATGTGCTATCTTTTGGTGCTGTTGGTGATGGTGTAACAGATGATACAAAAGCATTCAAGATGGCTTGGGATACTGCTTGCCTGCAGAATGAATCAGCTATTCTACTTGCTCCTGATGATTATTCTTTTATGATACAGCCTACTATCTTTACAGGACCTTGTAAAACTAGCCTCGTGTTTCAGGTAATGTCAGTAAAATAATAACTAAGCTATGACTGGCTGTAAGTATTTTGTTATGCAATTGAATTCCAATATACATTATTAAGTGGGAGAAAAAACTGACTGGTTATTTTGCTTTATGAGAAGATTGATGGAACTATAATGCCACCTGATGGACCTGAATCATGGCCTAGTAAGATGAACAAGAGACAATGGCTAGTGTTTTACAAGATCAATGGAATGTCAATGCAAGGAGGTGGTGTTATAGACGGGAGAGGAGAGAAGTGGTGGAATCTGCCATGCAAGCCTCACAAAGTAAGTCATTTTAGGCTCTATTCGACCTGTGAAAACACTTTTCAAAATGAATTTATATTAAAATTATTGTAATATACTTAAAAAAAACTATTAAATCAATAATATTTTTAATATAAATAACTACTTGCAAACACACACGTGGTACGCGGTTGGTTAATTTCTTTAATAGTTCTCTCTTCTTCTTCTTTTATCTCTCTAACTAACTTGCTATGCTTGCAAAATTTAGGGGATTAATGGCACAACACTTCCTGGTCCTTGTGATAGCCCAGTTGTAAGTAAAAGAACTACTTCAGCATCATGAATCAAGGGTTTCATGAAATTTTATAACCTTTTGTTTTTGCTCTATAATTAATGAAGGCTATTAGGTTTTTCACGAGCTCCAATTTGACAGTCCAAGGACTCAGAGTGAAGAACAGTCCCCAATTCCATTTCCGGTTTGATAACTGTCAAAATGTTATTGTACAAATGCTTAGCATCAAATCACCACATCGAAGCCCTAACACAGATGGGATTCACATAGAGAACACATACAATGTCCAAATACATAACTCTGTTGTATCAAATGGTATTAATTCCTTAGACCTCAGAACTTTTCTTCATCATCTCCTTGAATATCCACTCTCTGAGTTCCATTATTTCTTCTGCCTTTTCTACTGCAGGTGATGACTGTGTATCAATTGGAGCTGGTTGTCATAATGTCGATATAAAGAACATTACCTGTGGTCCCAGCCATGGCATAAGGTACATTTTGCTAAGCTTTTGCCTAAATACTTTCTCCCCAAAAGAAGAGTACAGAAGTTAGGCGCCTCCAAAAAGGGATTCTAATGCTCTAATTTCAACTTCTTAGCTCAACTTAGAGTGATCCAAGATTTTTAATGCTTTTTGACACATTGATAATGTCACCCCCTAATCTATCCATAAAACTCAGCAACAAATTCGACGAAAAGTAAACAGGAAAATCTGGCAGCAGTGAGGGAATCGAATTTGCTTCGTTGCCAAAGTCATTTATTAGCACTGATTCGAGAGATGTTCAAAAACATATGGCCAACATTTGGTGTCTGATATTTTTGTTGTTGCAGCATTGGTAGTCTTGGAATCCGCAACTCGCGAGCATGTGTGTCGAACATAACAGTGACAGATTCAGTAATCAAGGATTCCGATAATGGTGTCCGAATTAAGACATGGCAAGGAGGATATGGTTCTGTGTCTAAAATCACATTCCACAACATTCACATGGAAACAGTTCGCAATCCAATAATCATAGACCAGTATTACTGCCAAACCAGGAATTGTACAAACCAAACTAGTGCGGTTTACATTTCTGATATTTTGTACACAAACATTAAAGGTACCTATGATAGTAGGAGTCCACCTTTGCATTTGGCTTGCAGTGATTCAGTTCCATGCACCAACCTCAGGTTATCAGAAATTGAGTTGCTTCCTTCTCAAGGACAATTTATGGCAAATCCATTTTGCTGGAATGCTTATGGGGCAATGCAGAATCTTACCATTCCACCAGTTTCTTGCTTGTTGGATGGAATCCCACAATTCTTACCCCAGAACAATATTGATCAGTGTCAGAATAATTTGTATCAGACCCGTATGTAAAGTAGATTTAGTTACATGTCAGAGACCAAAAGGCTAGCTATCATTGCATAACATGGAATTAGAGGTTTTAGTTCGACAAAATTGAACCCTATTTCATGTTTCAAACCTTATAATGGAATGGAGATGTCAGATTTCTTGGATCTACAAAGACAAATATATATTAATAATTTGTTTTCGGAATTGTTTTGAAGTGAATTTATATCCTTTTAAAAAGATTCTAAAAAACATGGCTTTTCTATTCGAATTATTTTTGTCTCCTTTTGTTCTAATTCAATAACCAAATGCTATAAAAAAACATTTTCAAACGATAATTTAGTGTAAATTTAGTAAGTTGGCTGGGTAGCAAGGATGAATCATAGTTAATTTGCCAGATTCCAAAAGGACACCAAGGCCCAAGCTGAGGAAAGGGTCTCTTTGGGCACCAAGAAAGGATATTTTTCTTTAAGAAAATTGGGACCGGAGGAGCCAAACTTGTCCTTTACGGCACAGACATAAATTCCCTTCCTATAGTTCTCTCATTAGAGACACGAAATAACCCCCAGTGGGCTAAATGGGATGGATGAGAAGGCGAGCCCAATTCTCTACTGAATGAGTAGTTGCCTCATTTTCTAGACTGCAGCCATGCCGAAAGATTAGCCTAAGAACCTAATATTTTCTCTTTTCCACTAATTTTCAATTATGATGCAATTAAAATACTTTAGGGGCACAGCTGATACTACAACAATAGTTGGGGGATGGATTTGAAGTTTGCCTGAATTGTTTTAACCCAAAATCCTGATGCTTGATGAAGGACTCGGTATGGTGAGCAGAGCCATAACCATAGTGTCCTTTACCTACCAAAAATGACAAAAAGAAATTCTTACACCAAACATGACAATGATTACTATTTTTTGAAGTTTTTTAATTATGATTTCATCTATTATTTAGCTGGAATATACTCATATTTTTGTGTCCAAACTGATTTACTCAAAGTAGAATAATCGGATTAATTAGTAACAATAATTATTGTTGTAGTTGATTAGTGCATTGATTCTAAAAAAAATACAAGGGTAGTACGCCATGCACTTCTCCTACAATACTTCTTCAATTCACATCTGTTGATCTTCAAGAGTAGTTACCAACCCTTTTTGCCATGGATAGAGTTGGTTTGGTTGGAGCAGATAGACTCGCCTATTGTAGAGCATTTGATATCACATACAAGGCTCCATCTGATGAAGCTGAGCTGATGCGCATTGTTGCTACAGCGGCAGCCATAGATGACACAGAACCAGCTGCTTCAGGTTCCCAAGGGCAATGGAATTGGAACAATTCTCTCCCCGAACAACAAAGTAACCGCACCGGAGGTCAGAAACGTGAAATGGGGTAATTGTCTCTGGTACAGATCTTATCAGGCAATTGGCTAAAGAGCATGAGATGCTAATAATTACTGTGGAAGACGGTTATATCGAAATGTATCTGACCTACATCCAAATGGTGTGTGCTTGATTTCTTGTCACAAAATAACAGAAGAAGAAGAATTGTTTGAGTAACTTGTCAACATTGTAGTTTTACATGTAGCAATATCTAATTTTAGAATCCAGAGAATTGTCATGATAGTAATTTAAGGAAGATTAGCTAGAAAGTGCATGTATCTCAGCCTAGAAGGTGCAGCTTTACCTATTCTTTTATCGTCACTGCATCAGACCACTATTTAACCTTAGTATGAACAGAAGTAATCTTTGCAATCTTGTTTGTTTCCAAAGAAATCATCCTTCTCATTGTTAGAGATGATCGTTGTTTTCGCCAATTTCATGGTGGAACTCGCTGCTGTGCAGGCTATTAATGGTGACTGATTCTGAGTGACTACTCTGTTGTGATACGTTGCCTTGCTCATCATGTTGTGTTAAGTCACAAGATATATAGGCTAATTATTAGAAAGCCATGACTAAAGGCTTTGAAACTGGAAAGATTTAGAAGGGATGCATTCATCATTCTAGAATTGTATCCAGTTCAACTGTCAAGCCTAACAATCCATTGGGTTGCATATAAGAAAGAGCCCTCCAGAAACTGATGGCCCATTTGGTAACCAGAAACATGAAGGTAGGAATGGAGTTCGGGAAATCATGAAGTTGATGAAACGAGGACTGCTACTCCATCTTTGAGGAGAAGCAACATTTCTTGCTGGCACAAGATTCCAATTCAGGACGCGACATTGTATCGAAATCCTCAGTGAACATGTTAAATCTCAAAATCGAGGTTGCGCATGGGATATATAGCATCATAGTCTCTTTGAAAGAATTGGCTCTAGGATTCAATGTGGAGTTACATTTCGTCCTGCAAGACAGTGCCAAAGAAAAGAATAGAAGCTCCCTTGGTAGTTGTCTACACATTATTTTTTATGTTTTACATGATTTATTATATAAACAAAAGGGACTAAAAACATAAAACACCATGTAACCTTTATGTAACACATAGAAGAAGAAACCAAGAATAAATCTTTACAGATAACTAATTAAATGTTATTAAATGTATAATTTGTAGTTTTATCAAGTGGGTCTGTAATCTTTATCAAACTATATATAACTCTGTTTCACAGTTGAAGTGATACGACAATCAAAATCACAGGCACAAAGATTAATTCATGAAAACATTTTCTTCTTTTTCCCGCCAATTTTCAACTGCTAAACAGACAAAACCCTTTTCTTTAACAACCCAAAACCCACAAGTTTCCCCAAAATTCACAGCCCTAACAGAAGACTTGTGTAATAAAATTTTGGACGAAAACCCAGATGCCAAAACACTTAAAAAGCTCCATTCCAAGATTTTCATTGACCTAAACCTTCACCCAAACCCTTCACTTGGCATCAAATTAATGAGGGCTTATGCCGCTTGTGGTGAACCATGTTACACACGCCACATATTTGATGAAATTACTGACAAAAATGTTGTGTTCTTTAATGTCATGATTAGAAGCTATGTTAACAATGGTTTATACCAAGATGCTTTACTTGTTTTCAAAACCATGGCTAATCAGGGATTTTATCCTGATAATTATACTTATCCTTGTGTGTTAAAGGCGTGTTCGGTGTCTGGGAATTTGTGGGTTGGCTTGCAAATTCATGGTGCTGTTGTGAAACTTGGGCTTGATATGAATCTTTATATTGGGAATGGGTTAGTTTCCATGTATGGGAAATGTAAGTGTTTGGATGCGGCAAGGCGAGTTCTGGATGAGATGCCAGGGAGGGATATGGTTTCTTGGAATTCGATGGTTGCTGGGTATGCACAAAATGGGAGGTTTAATGATGCATTGAAACTTTGTAGGGAAATGGAGGATTTGAAGCTAAAACCTGATGCTGGCACATTGGGAAGTCTCTTGCCAGCTGTGACGAACACATCTTGTGATAATGTTTTGTATGTTAAGGACATGTTTGTGAAGCTGAAAGAAAAGAGTTTGATTTCTTGGAACGTGATGATAGCAGTGTATGTGAATAATGGTATGCCTAATGAAGCAGTGGACTTATATTTGCAGATGCAAGTGCATGGGGTTGAACCCGATGCTGTCTCTATTTCTAGTGTGCTTCCTGCTTGTGGGGACCTTTCAGCTGCGGTGTTAGGAAGCCGAATCCATGAATATGTTGAAAGGAAGAAGCTTCGGCCAAATTTATTAGTGGAGAATGCATTGATTGATATGTATGCAAAATGTGGATGCTTAAAGGAAGCAAGGGCAGTATTTGATCAAATGATGTTTCGGGATGTTGTGTCATGGACTTCTATGATCTCTGCTTACGGCATGAGTGGACAAGGTAAGGATGCTGTTGCTCTCTTTAAAAAGATGAGGGACTCAGGTTTTACTCCAGATTGGATTGCTTTTGTTTCTGTTCTAGCAGCCTGCAGTCATGCAGGATTGGTTGACGAGGGGAGGTATTGCTTTAATCTAATGGCTGAGTATGGGATAACTCCAGGGATAGAACACTATAATTGCATGGTAGATCTATTGGGACGTGCTGGGAAAATAGATGAGGCCTATCATTTGACCAGACAGATGCCAATGGAGCCTAACGAAAGAGTTTGGGGGTCTCTGTTGAGTGCTTGTCGGGTTTACTCTAACATGAAAATTGCACTTTTGGCTGCTGACCACCTGTTCCAGTTAGCTCCTGAACAGTCAGGGTATTGTGTGTTGTTATCCAACATTTATGCAAAGGCTGGAAGATGGCAAGATGTGGAAACGGTTAGGTCAATCATGAACAGCAAGGGAGTCAAAAAAATTCCAGGCAATAGCAATGTTGAGATCAACGATCATGTTTACACCTTTCTTGCTGGTGACCAGTCTCATACTCAATCAAAGGAGATCTACAAGGCGTTAGATGTATTAGTTGGAAGAATGAAAGAATTAGGTTACATGCCTGAAACTGATTCTGCTCTTCACGATGTGGAAGAGGAGGACAAAGAATGCCATCTAGCAGTTCATAGTGAGAAGCTGGCAATTGTGTTTGCCATTCTGAATACAAACCCTGGAAGCACAATCAGAATTACCAAGAATATTCGTGTTTGTGGGGATTGCCATGTTGCTACGAAGCTTATATCCAAGATCGTTGAACGAGAGATCATCATTAGAGATACTCATCGTTTTCACCATTTTCGTGATGGGGTTTGCTCCTGTGGGGACTATTGGTAACTGATGCTGAGCATTGCAAGTCAGAAACATAATCTGACATGATAAAGGACAGTTCTGAATTGTGATTATAATCATCTATCTTAGATTATATCGCGGATTAGGATTATTTTTATTAGTGTTGCACTTTTAAGGCTATGAATAGAAGGTGTATTGAGAATGTATAAAGCCATAAGAAATATAAAATATCTTACACCTTTAAACTTTTCTAACCTATTTCTCTTTTTAGCTTTCGAGGGTGATTGGAAGTTCTTTTTAGCTTTTGAGGATAATTAAAAGTACAATAGTAATTATTTTTTAAAATATTTTTTTATTTAAAAATATATTAAAATAATATTTTTTATTTTTTAAAATTAGTTTTAACATCAATATATCAAAATAATCTAAAAATATTAAAAATATATTAATTTAAAATTAAAAAATATAAAAATTTAAATTTTTTAAAAACACTGACCACTCACAAAGCCACAACTTCAACGTTGAAACTGGAAAGAGTAGGTGGCAATGCATGTAGCATTCTAGATTTCTAGTTCAGATTTCAAGCCTTAACAATCCATTAAATGGCTCAAATTTGATAATTCAAGTGTCAATTTAAGAAAGTTGAAGTTATTCAGGGCAAGGGATAGAGGATACAATGCAAGAGTTTTCAAGAACTGATGGTCCATTTGGTTACCAGAAACAAGAATCCAAGAAGGGAAATCAGCAAGCCAGAGTGGATCACGAAGAAAATAGAATGGCATATTGTCTTCCATGTTTGTGCCTTGCTACCTTTTGAGAGTCTTCACATTTTTTATTATGAGATAGGATTTCATATTCCAATTTGAGAAGGGTAAAATTCCACCGAGTTGTCGACAAAAACCCTTTCTGGAGCAATATTGAAAGCACCAATTGGTGGAGGTAGAAGCTATGTAATGTGTACAATGAATAAAGATAATAGCGAACTGAAATCTTATTCATTCACATAGTAAACTGGTATTCAAGAACCTTTCAGTCAGTTGCCAAACCTTTTGGGAAAGGTCGAAGAAAGTACATGAGAAGTCTTTGAGCAACCAATTAGCACACTTTTTTTCATTCACCATACACCCATTCGTTTATTAGAACATTTCGATACAAGCATCCATCTTAACAATAGTCATCCATTACTGTACAAGCTTAAATGCTTGTGGAGATTAAGAGCAAGATGGATGCTAAAAGATATTACTAATACAAAGAAGCAAGTACCTCCAACAAGGAAGCAGCAAATTGCATTTGCGTCTCCTCATCTATGGTCAAGAACAGAGGTACATGCACAAAGAGAGACTTTGTCCCATTTTGCTCTGCGAACCGAAGTGAATGGTAGTAAACATAATTGCATACAAATCGGCCTGCATCATCAGATGTCATCACCTCATAGCCTTTCTTTTTCAAGATCTTTGTGAGCTCCTCAACAGGAAGAGTGGTCTGTGAGCATTGAGAAGAAGAAACCCTTATATAAAGTGCAACAGAACAAAGGCAACAAAAATAAAATGCATCCAACGATATCTCTACATCCTACCTAAAAACAGAATTAGAACCTAGTACAGTATTTTTCACGGCAAAACGTCCTAGACAAAGAAAAGCAAAGAAGCTACAAGCAGAGAGGATAGTTCTCTCTTCATTTCATTTGCTTAGCCTGGCTCTGAAAGGGTAACTCCCACATAATAAAATAGATTCTAGTTTACATAATTTAATGGTATAGTTATTAGCTTCCCCTGATCCAATTTCTCTTCTTAATGGCAAAGAAATTGCAAAGAAAAGAAATATTGGGATCCATAAACTGATGGGTGACATGATCCAAATTACTGCCACAGGAAATTTCTTGATGTTTACGTTGCCTTTGACAATTTGAATTAGTATCTGAACAGTTTAAGATGTGATTGTCCCAAGAAACAGATGGACAACAAAAAAGTGCACCTAAAAAATCAATCGCATAGTTCAGATACTTCCTATTAGCATAAATTGTGTGGTATCAAGTCATGTCAGCTTTCAAACTGAAGAAAGTAGCACAGAGGCTTCCAATGAAAGAAGAAAAGCCAGCTTCTATTGAGCACCAAATCAATAGCATAGAGGCTTTACGCCACCAAATACCTTTGCTTTACAAGTAAAGGAACACTGGAAAGAAAGGAGAACTGGCCATGGAATATTCTGCTACTTTGGTGCCATTAAAAAGATAGGATGTCGTGTAAAACAAGGAGCATTGGATACCAAAAAAAAAAGGGTCCAACCCCAAAGAGAAGAAAAAAACCGAAATCATAATAAGATGCAATAAAAAAAAGCACTAACAAATTGATTATTTCTATTTGCCAGGCGACATAGCATCAACTTTTTGAAAAATGAAGGAAAAGAAAAGGTAAATTGAAACCCAAATATACCTCTCGAACTCGTGAAATTCCACCATCTGAAGGAATGATGGGTACTTTCTGCAAACCAAAATAATGGAACTCTAAAAACACCAAAAAAAAAAAACCCCTCAAAATCACTAAAAGAAAAGACCTTAATGATTTGTCTTACCTGTGGCTTCCATCCCAACTCATCTGGACAGCGAAAAGTAGCTTCATTGACAGCTTGATGCTCAATGGCAAATCTTGTTGCCCCGCTATTGACCCCAAAGTGTAGCTGAACGAATCATTTGCAAAAACAGTATCAAGTGGTACGCAGAAAACATAAGATGTTGGAAGGAATCAGACAAGCAATATACATGAAGCTGAGATATGAAAGAAAAGATATATGGATGATACCCAAATGACTCTTCCAGGACTTGAGGATTCAGAATCCTTCGAGTTTATGGAAGATTGAAATATTTGGTAAAGTGGAGCAACCGCTCCTTGTCCTGCAGTCTCAAGAACACTGCAACTCCCCAGAATCACGCCTTTTGGCATGCCCTTCTTCTTCATGTACTCTTTTATATTACCAACAATTGCCTCAGTTGGATTCTCAGCAACTCCATGGAATTTCTTGAATCCAGTCACATGGACTGTTACAGCTGGAGGCCCTTCAGACCCCATTAAAATTCACTTTTTCAAGATTTACTTGATCGAAAAGGTACTATAGCATGAAAATTAGATTGAAAACCAAACACCTGCATGATTCAACAAAAAATCAGGCTCATCAGCCTCGCAATTAGAATCAGTTAGGGATAATAGAACATAGAACTACTACAATTCCAATCATTAACATTCTAAAAAAAATTACAATGCCCTTATCCCTTGTTATAGTCAGTGACAAAACAAAAACAAACTCACCCCTTAAACCTAAAATCCTATCAAATTTGGCTTAAAAATTATAGAAAATACATCTGCAGACATAATTTAGCTATCATGGCAATGAATTTCAATAATAGAAACACTAAATGACTGGACCCTGAGCAATTCTACTCTTGATGAAACAAAATTTCACGACTTTCTGCAACTTTATATGGAGAAATTGACAATCCAAGTACTATACTGACGGAACCAATACCCTCAATTCAAGATAAAACACAACAAAGGAGTAAAGTTTACGTCTTTGTTGATCAAAGGAACAATAAACAACGAAAACCATCAGAATTAAAAAAAAAAACTAATAACATATCTTAAGATTCTGCAGATGAATCTGATAATCTAATCCAGAATCATTTAAGTACACAGCTCAAAAAGATCACACCTTTGAAAGAAAAAACACAACCCCAGATGAAATAAACCACTGTAAATCCAACTGTACTCAAAATTCGAGTTGGTACACAATCAGGAAACAACTGATCAAGGCCCACCCAGATGACCATATATATCAGAAAAATAATCAAAACCCAGAAATCGATAAAAACAAAAGGGACCAAAAGCATCTATCTTGAAATTCAAAAAGAAGAAAAAGATGAGACCTTTCCTAAATTTTCTTACCTGTAATCTTCAAAAGAAGGAAAGTAAGAGAGGAAAGATAAAAAGGGTAATGAGTGACTCAACCACCACTTATCTATTGAAAAAAGTTGATTTAACACTAATGACGAACTGATTAAGATTCCAATCAATTTATAAGAAGAGAGAGAGGGAGAGAGAGACAAAGGAGTTGAAAAATATTTTTTTCTTGATAGGTATTAAAAATATTATTATTATAATAAAGAATGTGGTTTTATCGGAGAAGGTTCACTTAAAAAAAACAAAATATTTAAGGTAAGTAAAAATAATAATACAACAAAAACTACATGTAATTTAGGTATTTTTTATTATTTATTTATATCATTATGGTAGTAAAATATAGGAGTTACCTTTGTTACACATATAGAGAAATGAAAAGCATAACATTTACCGTTGGATTAATAACGTATTTGAAAACGTGATTAAAATTATATTTTTTAATATTAGCATGTAGAGTTCAAGTTCCCAATGGCTTCTCCATTGGCAGAAGAAGGTGGGTGGCTAGGCCTAGGGCCTAACACTGTCTATCCATTCATTGACGAGTGGGAGAGCACTTTGGCCTGCTGCAAGGAATAGCAAAGGCTAAAGAGCGGTTGGTT